CGGACCTAAGTGATAAGCCTGGAATTATTTTTAAGCAAGTGGTGGCACGATTGAAGCAGTATTTTAGGAAGATTATGCTGACAGGGGTGGAGAGAATCTGGAAATTGAGAGGCTATTTAGGATGTTATGGGAGTAGCTGAGGTATGAAATGATAAGGATTAAAATTTTCTGAAAAATAATGGGAAAGGGGTGAATAAGAAGGATGTGGGAAAGAAACTAATCCACCGCCCCAGGGTGGATATGGAATGAATCAAGGGAAGGGGAGGAGTCAGAGCTCATCCCCATTTTCTTGGCTTTGATGATGGAGACACCGTCATCCCTGTCAGACACTTTGGGGATGCAGGAGGAATAATTGCTTTGGGAAGGGTGAGACTAAACTGGCTTCAGATTTGTTAGATGGGAGGTGACGATGGGGTACTAAGTGGAAGTTTCTACCAGGCCTTTGAAGATATGTGAGTGGGAACTCAGGACAGTGGTCAAGGCCATCTGTAGACACCGGCTTGGAATTCATATAGAACTAAACCAAGTTACACATCTAGGTGTGTCAGGTAGGGAGTCCTTGGTTGCAAGGAACAGAAACTGAATCTGGCTAGAAGTAGAAAAGGCTCAAAAGAATCTGCTGTGGACATCTACTCAAAAGGGGCAGGGTCACGTGACAGTGCTTCTGGGGGCCCAGATGAGAAGAATTCACAATCTCATTAAGCTAGGACGACTCAGTTCCAATGACTTTCCCCACTCCCTTCAGGACTCAGGTGCTGGGAGGGCATCATATGCTCACCCCTTGGCTAGAGGAAGGAAAGACACCATGACTCCCATTTTTGACGGGGAGGCACATAGAGCCCGACAAGTGATTCTCCAAAGCAAACCAGATTCTGCGATCAAGACTGGGGAATAGATGCCGGGTGGCCACAAGCCAGTCGATGTTCCCTCCATGCAGGGTGTGAGGAGGAAAGGAGATAAAGCAGCAGGCAGGCAATTGCACAGCGCCCACATATAGAGGAGGAGGATTTGATGAGCAAAAGATAAAGGCTGGGTAAGGAATTGGAGGAGAGAGACTAGACAAAGGAGTTTCAAAAAAATGGGCAAAACACCAGAGTTAAATGCTGCCCAGACCTCAAGGGTGGTGAAGAATGATGAAAACGTCCTGGGGCTGGCATTGGAAGTGATTGGTAACAGAGCTTTGAGAGAAGGGTGGGGGAGGGATGAAGGGAGGGAGCAATAGGGAGACACAGTCAGTGATGCAGATAAGAAGATAGGTCAGAGACCTATGTGGAAGTAGAGAGACAACATCTATTCCTTGAGTGTAAAAGGAAGAAAAGATAGGTTGTTGTTTGAAGGGGTCAGTATCACAATGACCCTCAGGGGTTCCCATCCCTATTTGACCTAATAGTGCAAGTAGACAATAATACTTAGGCCCGCACTTAGTCAATGTCTTTTCTCTGAAGCGCTTGGTGAAAGGTAGTGACGAAAATGGGGAAGTGTGAATTGATGCTCTGGTTTAATGTTTCAGAAGTTACAGAAAGAAGAAATTGGATTTATTTGAAAGCCAACTTGAAAGGGAAATAAAAATGCCTTTTATAAGCTAAAAAATATCATAACAATGCAACAGTCCCAGAAACTAATTGTCTAAGTGAACTGTTATAACCAGTCTTCTTTCCCCCGGCTGAAACAGTCTTACATAACAGCCTTTGCATCTATAATGTTGTGTAACAAGGCATCTTGTGGGGTAATGTGTTTTCAATGGGGGTTAGATAGCAGAGGAGCAACTATTATCTAATTATTGAAACATCAGTCATTCTTCCAGACAATACACCTCACCCATTGGAAGTTAAGGATAGTTTTTACTTAAATACAAGGCCATACTGTTAGGGTGTTCGGGGGAGCAGGGGAGTGGGGCAGGGGGATTTTCATCTTCTTCCAAAGCACTCAACACTGGACCTCTTCCAAGAGAGGAAACGAGACTAAATAGATCATTTGTTTTATTCTGTTTGGGCATTTCTTGCGTTTCTCCCAACTGCGGCTTATGGACACAAAGCCAAACTGAGAGACTGACTGGAGCTGGCTAAACTCCAGGTCACTTTTTTTACTTTTTAAAGGAATAAACAATTTGAAGCTCTCTCCAAGGATTAAGGCAAGCCACACAATTGAAAGACAAAATGAAATTCTGCAGTGAATGTAAAGTTGCAAAGAAAGAGGCAGGTAGGAGCGTTTAATGATTTGGATTTCTCAAGACCAAAGTAGAGAGGCGAGGCACATGCTGCTGGAAAGAGCACATCTGTGAGAAATAGATTTCAAAGAGGGTCAGACACTAGATGAGCTGTTCTCCTGGGCACCAACAGAGGTAGGAACACGGCTTCTTTGGAGCAGCCCCCTAAGGATGGGAGTCAAAGTGCCTGGTGACTTGAATGTCACTTGAAAGCTTGGGAGATTGCTTCTGTATCCTCTTACTGGCATCAGGAAGGCCGGCCAACCCCAGCCATGCTCATTCTATAATAAGCATAGTTGGTATTCCCGGCATATACCGCAGGCAGAATGGGTCTTTGTCTCGAATCATTTCCCTTTGGGAGACGCTCATTGGCAGTCCCATCCAATGTCCAAGGAGAGAGAAAGGCACATTAGTGGTTGGGCTTGGTTTAGCATATTAGTTAACACTGCATCCTGTCTGATTTCAGAATCGACAAGTCATGTACAGTATTGCTCAAAACATTCCTTTGACAGTACTGGATGTAAACAAAAGAGATTAAGTTCCAAAGACGCCTGATGGTCTTTTATATATGAAGACTCTGGAATCTAAATACACTCTAATTGGTAAAATAAAACATTTTTCCCTAAAAAATGTTGGTTCCATTAAAACAAGAGACTGAACCCCTTTAAAATAATACTTGTGCATTTCTTTCAAAAATGTAGAGTATCTTTTACTTTTTTAACTTTAGAGTAACTTTACTAAAAATTTAAAATTACAAATAATTAACCAAGGTGTTTGCACTACTCATCAGTGTAGCAATGTTAATATCCTGATTGTGATATTGTACAATCGTTTTCCAAAATGTTACCGATGGGGGAAACTGGGCAAAGTTTACAAGGGACCTCTCTGTGTTATTTCTTACAACTGCATGTGAACCTATGGTTATTTCTGTAAAATTTTTCAATTAAAACAAGTGATTGAGATAGAAATGAACATGGGAAATCAGGCAGGCTTTTATAACCTGGCTTCACCCACACTTTTTGGTTCTAGTTTGTTGCTTCACTAGTCCCTTGAATGACTTCCTTCCATCGAGAAGAGGCTACTCCTAGATTCTCAAACACACAGAGTTCATACCCACCTCTAGGCTTCTTCTCCTGTAACCTTCTCCACCCCCTCCCCCACCCCCTTATTCTTCCCAGCTCCAGCTCACCCTCCTGACGAGACTGCCTCCAGAGCAGTACTTATCATGTCAATAACCACCACCAACCTTAAACAATCATTTATTGAGCAACTACTATCTCTGTAGAATTGGCCCTAGGCACTAGGGACTGGCTGAGTTGGAAACCATGCTGAACTGGTTTCTCGCCCCTGCTTTCTGGGAGCACATATGCTCATGAGGAACGGTGGGAGAAAACTAGCCAAGAAACAAGTGGGGAAAAAAATCAAACCATGATGAGGTCTATGAAGTAAGCAATAGGTTGTAGAAGGAAGGAAGTGGTCAAGTGGTCAGGGAAAGTTAGCGCAAGTGATCAGGGAAGGTTTCCTAAGAAGGTGGCTTGACTTGTGACCTGAAGTGTAAGGAGGCAGTGATAAGATCATGAGATCATGGGCAGGGGAAGGGGAGCATTTCAGGCAAAGGGAACACGAAGAGGGCTTTAAATCCTGCTCTGTCATTGGATATAAATATTAGGAATGGCTGTAAATAACAAGACAGGTTTTCTTTTTGTGGACTGTTTCCTTTTTATTTAAGGGCCAAACCTCCCATAGCTCTGAGAGGCTGTGAATACCCTTCAGCTAGCCCAGATTTTCCACTTAAAAGCGACTTTCTCACCCTAACACATGCACACACCGTCTAGCATGGTCGCCCACGGTTGCCTACACGCCAGTTGCAGATTCCAAGTTGCTCTAATCTGTGCATACAGCCTCAACTCAAGGCTGTGTCTTAGATTTACCACATTTCTTTCGCACAGCTGGGGCCCTGGGCCTGCTGGTGAGGGTTCTGCGCTGTCTAAGGGCAACATAATTATGTCATTAAGTTGGGTCCCCACAAACCTAAATTGACCCAAAGGAGGACTGAATAGGAGAGATCTGGGTAACACAGCTGGGAGCCGGACGGTGGTGATTTGTCACGGGCCTCAAGGGTCTGCACTTCGCTGCGCACCAGGTCCAGTCCCCTCGGCTGCAGTTGCTGGCTGGGAAGGGCTGGATTCCCAGCACTCTGCGGTTCCTCATGCTGTCACCGCAGCCAGGGACCCAGTTTTCTGAATTCCCTTGTCTGCCCCGCTTAAGGCGACGAGCTGCCGCTCCTCGTCCCCGTGGCTGGAGCAGTGGGCCCTGGGGCACCCTGAGAAGCACCTCGAGGGGTGATCGACCCCTTCCCGGCCGCGACCTGGGACCGTTATCCCCATCACCCGGACCGACGGGCACTGTCCCGAGGCGCTCCCCTGTCTCTCCCAGGGGACAGCATAAGACCACTCGCCCAGCGTCCCAGGGACGCGCCGGGAGCCCGTGGGTCCCTCCTCCTCCCACCTACACCCGGATCCGCGCGACCCACGTGCAGCGCGGCCCAAGCGGGCGCCGCACCTCGGGGTCGCCGCGTCTCCTGGCGCTTTCTGGGCACAGTGACACGACGGTGACCCCTTGGGGGCGATATCCGCGAGGCGGCGCAGAAAGTGGGGGCGTCCCAGCGTGCGGGCGCGGGGACGCGGCGGCCCGCTGGCACACAAAGGAGGCGGCGGGAAGGCGGGGCGGGGCGGGGCGGGACTGGCAGGAAAGGGGCGGGGGCCGGGTGGCCGGCGATAAAGCCCCCGCCGCGGCGGCTCCTGGCTAGCGCTCCGGGGTGCACTGGCTGCTCCCGCTACTCGAAGTCTGCAGACGCCACCGCCTCTTCCTCCTCGGACCGTCCTCCTCGCCGCCGCCGCCACTCTCCGGCCTCCGATCACCCGCCGCGCCGCCACCCGGCTTCGGCTCGCCCACTGGGGATCCCGAACCAGGGGCGGTGAGTACGGGGTGCGCGCCCCGGTCGGTCGTGGGCGTCCGGGGCCGGGAGCGGAGCAGCGGCGATGCCTGTGAGCCGGGGACTGTCCCTCCGCGCGCCGCCGGCTCCCGGCTGCGACCTTGCTCCCGGCTGGGAGGCTGCGGGGCGAGCGGGGCCCGGGGGCGGCGGCGTCGGGGCGGAGGAACTTTCTCAGCCGCCCTCAGGCTGCGGCGGCCGGGGCTGCTGGGCGCCCGGCCCCTGTGCCCCGGCACCCGGGCAGGGCGAGGAGGGTCCGCGCCGCTGGGGCGTCCAGGTGTGCCCGCAGCTGGGAGTCCTGGGGAACGCGTGGTTTCTGCGGGTCCATCCTAACTGGCCCCGTAGCCCTGAACCCGAGGTGCCCAGGTACTCCCTGGGCATCCCCTACCCTGTAGTTGCCATGTGCGCCGCCCTACAAGGAAAGACAAACGGACTCTTGTTTCCATTGCCTGAACGAGGTGGGGGTGACCAGTGGTTCTGGGGATGGGGATGGGGATGGGGGTGGGGGCTTAAATTGGCCTTTGCCATCCGTTTTAATCCTACGGAGCAGGTCTCTGCTATTTTCACCTTCTGTACCCATGGGAATTGCGATGCTGGTTAGTGACTACAGGTAAGATGAAAAGTACTCCGAAATTCCGGGCGGAATTGGGTATTTGCCTACAAACTGCCTGGGAAGGGAAGGCTCCGATTACATAAGACAGCACTCGCTGTACCTGAGGTACTGTGGAAAGTGCCATCGGAGGTTTTCGTGTTTTAGTGAAAGAAAAACAGTCCTCATGTGTGTCTCTTGAGAAATCTCAAATGCTGCCGTGTCTTGCTTTGACTACTTTGCAGAGAACATTCTTCTATTTAGCATCCACATGAAAAGGTGTTTGAAGGTTTGACTTCCTCTTTCAAGCCAGGAAGCAATTTACTTCTCTGAACTGCTCAGGAACAATGTACGTGATAATTTTTTTACTTTGGAGATTTTACATCCAAAGTTGAACACAGATAACTGAAAGAAACGTAAGCGTGGCTAATTTGTCTATCTAAAGCGCACCTCCAAAATCGAAGACACTTTCCAGGCTTTCTGCGGATCTCGATCAGATATTATGTGCTGTTTGCAGTATTTCAGCAATAATCTTCTTCAGCTCTGCAAACGAAGGTGTTAGCCTAAATAATCGAAGGTTTCTTTCAACCCTTAGGTTTTGATTCTCTATTAAAATAGTGTTTGAAAAGATTGTACAGTGTGAGGCAATTATTGAAGGTCATCAAGATGTCATCTATCTTTTATCCTTTAAAAAATGAGTATGTACGGAAAATTTCTGCCTCCCATGAGCTTCACATATGGGTGTAATTTTAAAAGGACAAAAATGACTCAGTCTGAAAAGGACATTAATTTTCCGATCCAGACAGAAGGGATTAGATACTAATCAGATTGAGGTGGCAGAGTTTGGAAGTGAGGTGGTGAGCTGGCCAGGTCCCTGCTTCTCCTCTGTGTGGCTTCCTCTGCCATCCTATCATTCCCCGGGCAGACTTTGGCTGCTGGGCTTTCTTTTCTTTCCGCTAGTCCCAGAATCCATGCGGGTGGAGGGGTGCTCTCGATCCTTGACCGTCTCAAATCCAGTGACCGCCACCCACTCTAGCTACTTAGTGCTCTACATCCACGTCTTGCCCTTGCCCAGAGACGCTCAGCTTGTGAAATAAGACACTTCAGCATCTCAGTGTCTCTGAACCATCCTTGGAGGTTGGTGACTAGCCCTCTCATTGCAACTCTTCTTCAACACAAGAGATCTCTCCTCTTCCTCCTTCCCTTTGGGCAGGTGACTTCTTGGCCCACTCTACCCTACTATAGGGGCCACTGGATGAAAATCTCTCCATGTCCTACCCCATTTCCCTCCTACAAACTTTACCCAGTCATCCAGGAAATCTCCTTAGGCATCTACTGTGTCCAGGCACTAATGTATGGGAAAGATAGCAGGTACCTGCTCTATTTGAATTGTCATTCTTGTGGGAGGAAACAAAGAGCAAACTGAATTATGCTACCATAAAATGTCTGATAATAAAACATGAATAGGGTAGAATAATAGAAAAAGTCAAGTTGGAACTGGGAACATAGAGGTTAAAGAGAAGGCCTCCCTGTGGCAGTGCCTAATGTCTCCCTATGAACTCTTTTCCCTTTTAAAAGTATTTTTAAAATCCCATCACTTCCCTTATCTCTGTATCCTCATCTCATCTCCAACTACCACCATGTCTCCCCAGGCTTCTGAAATGAGTTAGCACTGCCCCTTCCTTCTGAGCTCTCTGCAAGCTGGCCAGAGTCTCCCCAAAGTAGAAGACTCACAGTTCCTGAATGGGTCACCCTGCGGATGCTCTGCAGACCTCCCTGTGGAATTAGATGTGATCTTTCCTTCCTTCCTGGTGCTTTCTTCCTTCCATTGTTGCCATCTCCTGCTTTTCCTTCTGCCTCCCTGGCTTCTCCACTCCCTCCTGGGGTGACTCAGGGCTCTGTCCTTACTCTCTATGTAGCCTTTGGGCGACCATATGCCCACAACTCCAACTTTCACCAAGTACAAAGTGAGTCTCCAGCTGGTGACCTACAGGCTGGTGGACTTATCCATGCCCTTTAGGGAAAACCTACAATAAATTCAAAACTGGTTTTAGTTCTCACCATCCACTCCAGACTCATTTCATCCTTAGCCCAAATTTGTCCCTCTCTCTTTAAAAAAAAAAAATTGATTTCAGAGAGGGAGAGAAATAAACATCAGTGATGAGAGAGAATCATAGATCAGCTGCTCCTGCACGCCCCCCCACTGGGAATCGAGCCTGCAACCAAAAGCATGTGCGCTGACCAGAAATCAAACCATGACCTCCTGGTTCATAGTTCGATGCTCAACCACTGAGCCACACCAGTAGGGCTGTTTTTTTTTTTTTTCTTTTTCTTTTTTTTAATATGGTGGCTCTACCATTCACCAAGGTGCTAAAGCAGGAACCTCGCAGTGATGCTAGTCTCTTCCAGCTCTTCCCACATCCAGACAGCCGCCAAGTCGCATTGCTTCTTCATGCTGTGAAGTCCTGGAAACCTCTGCTGGGTCACACCGGCCCTGCCCTGCTTCAGAATGTAGAACTGGCAAAATGGTGGCCAGTGTGTCATCTGCAGCTGGCAGATGTGTTGTTGGCCTGGACAAGTATACAAACACTGAGTTATATTTAGAAATATTAAGATGTCATTTGGATTTATAGCTTCTCTTAAAAGTCAGAAGACCTGGAACATGAGGCTAACATTCCTATGTGGCAACACTTGGCTGGCATGGAGTTTCCAGTGCCGGGCCACGCTGGAGGTTGCTTGCTTTCTGGTTCCCCTGGACCTGTGGCCCTCACTATAGTAGCTTGCTGGCTCCCAGGTACTCTGAGCTAGTGGCCACAGGCTGGGAGACCATGACAGCCTGTGATTCCCTAGTGGCTCACCACCGGTCTGCCTCTCTCTCACACCTGGTTTTGCACCCCTTTCAACCGTCTTCCATGTACTCCTGGGATGACTTTCCTCCTGCCCCTCAAACCCAAATCTGCTGTGTCCCTCCTGAAAAGAAACCCAGTGCCTCCCTCTTGTCTTTGGGACAAACCCAACTCTGACAGGTTGGGTGTCTCAGATTGAGAGGTGAGCTCTAGCATCTTTCTATGGCGTTGTACCCAAGTTTCTTTAAGGAGCATGGTTGATAGATGAATTGGGATGCAGTCTCTGCTGTTTACAGCCATCTCCGTAGACCTCTCCACCCTGCCGCTTTCTCAGAACCTCCCTGGGAGGAAGTGGGGCATGGTGGGTTACACATCCCAAACAGCAGTGGGGGGACTAAATATGGGAGCATGGGCTGCCCCACCTACTCTCAGCGTCTGGAACATGGAAGGCCCCATTTAACACATGGTACCCAGAGTCAGACAGTATGTTCCCAAAGGCACTCAGTTGCATCGGACAGGCCTGGCTCAGCAACTCCTTAGCACTCAGCCAGGGAACATTCCACAGTGAGCCACTGTCCCCCACAGGGACACTCTAGGATGCCAGCCATTTGTAATGACTGAAAGCCTGAGCTTTCTTCAATCCCTTCCCACCTCCCTGCCTCCTGCGCTTCCCAAAACTTTTATTTTCTTGCAAAACGAAACTTCCTGCAGACTCCTCGTACCCTCCTTGCCTTTGCCAATACTGAACCGCTGCCTAGAATTTTTTTTCTTCATCTTCTGTCTGCTTTTCAAGACCCAGGTCCAGTATCACCTATTCCAAAAAGTCCTTCCTGAAAATCACTACCCCCCGCCTTCTATGGCAGATCTATAAGGTGCGTGCGCGCACACACACACACACACACACACACACACACACACACCCTACCCCGATGGCAGTTGCTGTGTTATAGCAACATGCTTTACCCACCAAGCCTGCATGTTAGTTTCATTTGCACCTGCAGGGGTGCATGACCCAAAGGTATTTAATGGATTTCTGAACTAAACTGTATTCCCTTTTGTTATAAGTTTACTACATATTTCATGAAAGAGTGCTTGTTTTTCAGGCTGAAAGGGAGCTCTCCCCCCAGACCTCCACCTCTGGTTCTGGTACTTCTGCATTTACGTAATATTACCAGGTGGGGGGAAAGTAGGTTTACAGTTGTTCATATGGAAAAAGACATGCAGGTTAGGATTATTACAATAGCTCTGTTAACTGTTTCATGTACTCACAACTGTAAACCAACTTTTGCCCCACCCTGTATATCTTTATGTTAAAGGGAATCTTTGATCAGCCATGTCTTCTGAGAGTGAGCATTACTTAGAAAAAAGGCCGGGGGGGAAAAAAGCAGAAGTCTAATACAGAAGTGCTTCTGTGTCTGTGGTCAGTTATCCTCATCTGAACTTCTCTTGGCTTGGTTCTGTCTTCCTTGAGGTCCATTGGCTGGGCTGTGCTCTATTTCTGATTTGTACAAGGTAGGAGAATGCTTTCTGCTTTATTTCCATTAATCTTC